AGAATATTAATAATAGTAGGGAGAAGAGCAAGTCGAGAAAGTGAGTGCTAGAATAATATAAAGTTAACAAAATCATAGGCCTTACTTATATCTTGAGAAAGAACCTATATATCTTGGTAGTTGCAGTTTGCATCTTCAATTAAGTTGTTGAGAATGTGAATTGGGGTTAATGTACTGTTGCCTAGTAGGGCAATATAGAAATAAGGAGAAAGTATAGAGTATTGCGTAAAGTCTTTACTAAGTCTATTTGTAATAATTTTGGTATAAATTTTGTGAGTATGTTCAATAAGGCTAATTGGATATGTAAGGCTAAGATTGCTGTCAAAGGTATTATTTTTGGAAATAGAGAAGATTCTTCCCTGTTTCCATTGTTTAGGTATATAGTTATAGATTAAACAGCAGTTGAAAAAAGCAGTAAGTGCAAGAATACAGGAGTGGTTAAGGTGTTTGATCATTTCATAACTAATACTGGTAGGACCACATGCTTTATTGTTGGGCAATTTGAAAATAGTTTGTAGAGTTTCTTTAGGGGTAATGGGTTAGGCAAGTGAAGTATACTAGTCGGAATTAATGTGTGTTAGAGGTAAGTATTGTTGATACCAGAAGTTGTCAAAGAGAGATTGGTTAATGGGTCTGAAGGCTGTCCAGTTAAAAAAATGAGATTGTATATATTGTTTAATTTGGGCAGGTTCAGTAATAAGTTGGTTTGGTAATTTGATGTTGGTAAAGTGAATAGAAGATTTGTATCAGTCTAGTATACTATTAATAGCTTGTTTGGATTTAGAGATTAAAGTTTTGCATTTTTTCTCTGATGTCTCATTAATTTGATATCTGAGTCGAAGAGAATGTTCAATATGGTATGCTTGAGATATTTGTTTCCAAATATTATATACATGTTGTAACCATGTATGTAATAATGAGTTGTTCAAGAAATTAAGAGTTTGGAAATTACTATGAGTATAGAAGTTGATAATGAGAATAAGAGAGTTGATATGGAGTAGGTACTTGTTAGATGAGTCAGAGATAATAATTTTGATTAAGTGTTCTAGTTTTTTAAAGCCAATGTGAAGGGCAGTACACTATAGGCTATATTTGTAATTATAACTATGCTTGCAAGTTATTTTGTTGGGAAGGGTTTGGGTGGCAGTATGCAGAATACAGTATTGTATTTTATGCCATGTAGTGTCGATACTTTCAGATATATAAATGTGTAGGGGGAACATGTTGCTTGGTGAAGAGGTTGCTAACAAGGTCAGAGAAATTGGGTCCATTGATCTGGTGAAGTTGATTTGTAGTCAAAGATTCTGCAGCTAATATTAGTATAGAAGCAAGGAGGTTTGCTAAAAGCATAAGGGAATGTCCAGGAAGATGTAAGGATTAGGTGATCACTAAGGGTGCTGGTTTTGCTATTATGGAGATGAAAGTTAAAAAGAAATTGTAAATTAAAAGAATCTGTCCAGATATAGTTAATGCAGCTAGAGTTGATGTTGTTAGACCAAGTGTGATTAGAGTTATTAAGATGAGCACCGATATCAAACATGTTTGAGCGGTAGAAAAAGTTAATGAGTTTGTACTTGGTAGATGAGCTGCTGGTATCGTCATGAGTATTAAAATCACCAAGAATGATGGGGTGTAGATTTTGTTGTTTAGCTTGGAGTATCTAGTTGATAATAGTGTTTTGAGTAAGATTTCTCTTGGTAGAGTTGGTGGAAGAGAGGTAAACAGATATAATATATAGTTTGATATTGCTTTTAAAGAAAAGGTCGAGTGCAAGAGCACCTCCAGGGTGTGTGTGGTAGCTGTGAATATGAGGTTTTAGATAGTTCTGAATCATAATAGCAGTCCCTTCAATAGAACTGTCAGAGTTAGACCAGTAATAGGTGTAAAAGTTGTTATTACAAAATAAAAGTTTGGTTTTATGAGAAATTTTGGTTTCAGTAAAAGAAGCAATAGAAATGTTATGGTTAATACAATAATTTTGCCAGATCTGTCTCTTAGAGGCTACATTAAAACCTCTGATATTATGAGTTGCTATGATAAGGTTAAGATGACAAGAGAAGGGGTAAGAGGATTGAATAGGTGATTTGTAATAGATAGGATATTGTTAGGAAGTGAATAGAATATAACCAGGTAAAATAGTATTAGTGGTATTAAGATATATGTGGGTTTCGAGCGTAATAATGTTGACAGAGATTTTGTATAGTTGCAAGAATGAATTTTTTAAAAGATGCTGGAGAAATGATTTGAGTGTTTGTAGTGATGGGAGAAGAAGAAGGTTGTATTTGCAAAGGAATTTGTTGAAACATGTCTCCTTAGTAGGATAGGATGAGTTGGTACTTGAAGAGATGGGAGAGGAGTCTTCTGCAAAATTGCTCGCCATATGCCCAGTTCTTACAGCTGTGCAAGAGGCCAAAGTCTGCTCTGTATATTGAGTCTAACTGTCATTGCTTGGCTCTTCCACATAAATAGGCTTTCCTGCCTGCCCACTTACATTATTCTCCTCTAAAAATAGTCCACAAAATGTGGAGGACATCATTATTTTAGAGGTAGCAGCTGCTTCTATGATATTTGCAAAAGACTTTAATGAAAAGACTGTTGGGATTTGAATTCAGGTTTCTTAGATTGATTGGGTTTGGGTGGTGGGTCATAGAATAGATTATTAGAAAAAGTTGGTTTAATAATTTTGTGATGGTTAATAATAAGTTGTTCAGACTAAAATAAAAAGATCTCATTGTATTGGTTATGAATTTGGGAGAAGGTTTGTTTTGGGTTTTTAAGTATATCGAAATAAGAGATAACTTTTCCGATATAGGTAGAATCAGTGGTTTGTTTGAAAATTTTGTAAATGGTTTCTTCATATAAGAGATTGTAGATTTGGTTATTTTTAGTAGCAGTGTTAAGATATGCATTAAAGTAGGAATAGAAATAGTAGGTATTGTGACAGATATTGGCTTTAGCATTGTTCTTTTCCTGGTAAAAGTTGTCTGCTGTATTTGCAAAGTCAGAGAAGGTTTGTGTTGAAAAGGGTTTAGAGAAGGTTGCAGGATAGGTACTATTTTTGTTAAAGATAGAAAAATCTAATGTAGAATAAATAATAGTTGTAGCTTGTAGGGTAGGTGATAAGGGGGTTGGTGCAGAATAGTCTTTCAGAGATTTGTTGTAAAAGTATTTGTAGATATTTAGATATGAGTATTGCTTAGTGAAGTTTGGATCTTCTGTATTAATAGAAGTAATGTAACATATGTTTTCTTTGTTAGCATACATGTGTGAATATGGTGAAGAGTTGCTTTAGTGACAGCTTCTCTTCATTGTTGCAATGATGAAATTTCAGGTAAGTTATAGGTAGGTGGAAGGAGTTTTTTATATTCGGTTGCAAGAGTGGTTGCAATTTCATATCGGATATGGTTATAAATTCTTTTTCCAAAGTCTTCAGTTATATTTGAAAATTGGTTTGTATAGATTAAAATGAAGGAGCTAAACCAATTGTCAAGGTCTTGAGTAAAAGGTTTAAGAGAAAGGATTCTAAAGTTTTAAGTAAACTGGTGTTTAGGGATATTAAGAGTAATATTAATATTAAACTGGTTATCATTATGGATTTGAAATAGTGATTTGTTGGGTATATCTTCACTAAAAGAGTAAATGAATTTTAAAATATATAGGTTTAATATCTAAGTCCTTGATAAATTTTTGTGCGTGAATAGTTTGGTACTTGTTTTGTAAAAAAAGATGAATACGGGTGAGATTGAGAGCAACTTGATTGTGGTTACGAATACTGTAGAGAGGGATAGAGCTGAGTGATGAAAGAATTTTTTTGTAGTTTAGCTGTGTGAAGAGTTCAGTTGTGAAGTGGAGAAATAGAGATTTGAAGATATCAAGAATAATGCTAAAAGGTAGAGCAGAGTTTTGTTTTAAAGTAGGGTTGGCTTGTAGAATTAAGTCGAGGAGGAATTGTGGATGCTGTCCTGCAAGTAGAGGTCTTATTCGGTTAAAAAATAGATATTCGAACATTCATTTGTTCAATTATTTATTATTCGAATATTTATTGAAAAATCTGAATAAATATTCGAATATTCGATGAATATTCATTGAATACTGATTTACACATGATTGAATATTTATTTGATCAATGATTGACCGAATATTCAATGAATATTTTTTGTGGCTTATATTCATTGAATATTTATTTCATCAATGATTATTCAATGAATATTTTTTGTGGCTTAGGTTAGAACAAAAACTCTTCGACCCTATCATTATAATGTTTTTTAACCTCTTAATAAAACTTGTTTGCTATTACAGTTACATGTATCTTAATGTTCATAGAACGGGATCAAGCTACTCAGATAATACTGGTGCAAATTTCTTATAGAGCTAAATATGCATTTGCAGATGACTTAACCATTTAACTTTTAAGTATAAATTTTAATTTAAATTTATTTTCTTTAATATTTATATATTATATTTCTAACATATAAATGTTCTATTTCAAAAAATGTCACTACCAAAATTGTAGTACAAGTTTTTTATATTTAATGGTTTTAGAATCTGGCGAAAACTCTATACACAAAAAGAGTTACTTAATACAGTAATAATCAGATTATAGAGATGCATAATTTTCACAATATAGTTATTTAAGATATTTATTTGGCGTAAGTTTCATCGAGCTCATCATTATTTCGTTTTAAAAACAACATGCGTTCAAATAACTTAGGCTTCAACATCGTTCTTCTAATAGTCATCGTATTACTTGCATTGCTGAAAAGTCATTCGCTTGGAGTTAAAGTTGCAGGTATCATGAGATATTGCCTTGCAAGCTTGTTAAGAACAGGAAAAAAGATTTTTTGAGAATTCTACCAGTTAAAAGGGTCAGATTTATAATAGATTTCAGGTAAAGAAAAATAATTATCAAGCTCATCATTTAACTCTTCAGAAGTATCTTACATAAAAACTGTCTTAAAAAATGTTTTTTGATAAATTTGACATTGCCCTTCTTGTTTGTCTTAATCTTCATGAGGGCTAAAAGATTTATCAGATGATGTTAAGGCTTTATAAAGAGATTTAATCTTATTATATTTATTGCGAAGGGCAGTCTTAGCTTGGTGTCTCTGGGTTGGTGTTGCAAACATCAATTTTTTACATCTCAGATCAAGGAGGCAAACAAGAAATGCATCACCATCAGATAAGTCCCAATAATGTAAAAGCGCACTGTATAGTGCATTTTTAATCTTATGCTTCATATTTTTAGTATTTGTAGGTATATTTATATTAATCTTTCTTTTTTTAGGGCCTTTATCTTTCTCTTCCTTAGCATCAATGAATCCAATAGTATCATCGAATACTAGGTTATCTGTTTCAAAATTTACTTCACTTAATTCATCATCAGTATAACTTGTAGAAGTAGTTAGATTTCTCATTAACCCCCAAATAGACAGAAGTATATAAGAAATTGTAATATATTCGGAACCACCAAGCTCCTCCGTAGTTTCAAAGAAAGGTCCTAAGATATTAACAAGATCTCTCATTAAATTTCATTCATCGTCAGTTAATTGAATTTCTTTTAATCTATTTGCATCTTTTCGGTCTTCTGGTGTGTTTGAGACAGTCAATGTTGTTACAACAATATCGATTGTATCCTTAATTAGTAAAAGGTGTTCCCAAGCTAAAAAAGATGAATTCCAATGGGTTGGCACATCCATTTTTACATGAAGGTACGTGGAAGTTTTTTCAATTACCTATTAAAAAAAAAAAAAAAAAAAAGAAATAATAATAATAATAATAATAATAATTTAGTTATTTATATTTATACAAAGAATTAACGGTTGTATATCAGAATCCTGACATACAAAATCCCGATACACAAAATCCTGGCAACAAAATCCTAATACACAAAATCCCAACAAATTAAAATCCTAAAAATATTAAAATTAGGAATTTAATTTGTCAGGATTCTGTGTATTGGGATTTTGTTGTCGGGATTTTGTGTGTCAGGATTTTGTATTTCAGGATTCTGATATACAACCAGAATTAACAAATTGTATTATATTATTATCTGAAATTTTTAATGTTTTTTGAGCTTCTTCGAGTTGTTCATTTTGCTTTGGCGCTATAAAGAAATTAATTAGTCGTTTAGCCCTTACTACAAATGTTTCAGCTAGCATTAGGCCTTTCTCGATGACAAGTTGTATAGTGTGAGCCGCGCATAGAATTCTTATAACATTAGCCATTCTGTTAATTGCTGCCTTTATATTCGATCCGTTATCAGTTGTGATTGAGTGTATTTTTCCTGTAAGACCCCAATCAGCAATTATATTTTCTAACTTTTCTTGAATAACATTAGCAGTATGTGGATATCTAACATAGGATAAAGAAAGCAGTATTTTATGAATTTTGAATTCAGGATCAATCTACGAACAGATGATGCCAAGATACCCTTGCCTGTTGTGACCCGTCCACAGGTCTGTGGTAAGTGAGCAAGTTGTGGCAGTATTTTGTAATTTTTTTCACATATTTTGAGCACACTGATCATACATTTTATGAATTGTTTGCTTTACACTTTTTTCGTTAAGCATATTAAACATTGGATCTAATTCCTTTACGAACTCACAAAAAAATTGACTTGACACAAGACTAATTGGTTAGGCACCACAGATAATAAATTTAATGAGAGTCATAATGAGCTTATCATTCTTCGATTTGCTATGGGAGTATGTATTCTTTATGAATGAGTTAATTTTAGTTTGTGTAGGCTATGTAAAATAATAAATAAAATTAGATGTTAAATTTTTAGTTTAATTATTAAATTATTTATTTAATTATTTATTACTTTGCTGTTGTCACTGTCTGGTCCAGATAATCCAGACCCATTCTGTGTAATACCATGAGCGCTTAAGAGATGGGTTATTAAATTTGATGTCAAGCCATTTGAAGTTTTCAATCAAATGTTACAATGTTCTTTATCTGAATCATTTAATACTTGACAAATGGCATATATGACTTCAATATTAACTTTTTGTTTATCGAGGTTTTGAATAGATTCTATCATTTTTTTTTCTTCGAAGTAGCTCTATACCTAGCTTTGTTTTTTTGAGCCACCTCTTCGACCAACCTTAGTTTTTTTAATAGTAGGCATATTAGGGGTTTCATTATCACTTTTTGCACTTGTGCTTCTAGTTTCGGAGTCTGGGCTATTTGATCTTGTAATGAGATTTGCAAATGATTCAAATTCCTCCATTGTATATCACTAATGGCGATTTTTGGTTTAATTAATCAAGAGCTTTACAAGATATAAGGATAAAATGAGTTAAAGTTATATTTCGAAGATAAGTACTATATTTCTTTATTAATTTCAAATTCTTTAGTTTTTATATTTCTGAATTTTGATAAATTTCACTATTACTGATAATTACTATTCGTTCAGATAACATATGCATGTGCATATGTTTATGAGTTAAAATGGGTTGTATGCATGAATCAGAAATAAATATAACTTCATATTTAATTTAATTTGTTTATACGCATAATCAGCATGAATATTTTCTCTTAGGCATCGTACCTAATTTGCACAGATAAGTTTTTTATTCTATTTTAATACACAGTATTCTCTATTTACGGTTTATACTATTCTCTGATTCTTTATCTTACTGCCATCAATAATTTTTTTCCCTAGTTCCCCAAAGAATTCAGTGATAATAATAATATATGCTGGGGTTTGTAACTCTAAATTATGTATGGTGTGAGAAATATAAAAGTCTCAATCACTTTACATAGAAGAATATATTGAAGATAAGCTAAATTCAGTGGCAATTTATTTTAAGTCTTAGCAGTAGCATCTTCGATGCATTATTCTAATGCAAAGAGATTGATTCTTTGCTTTATTGAGATTGTAATTTAAGAAATTTATTTCTTTAAGGCTTTTAAATTTCTCGCACTATAGCTTTCCCAATGTTGCTATAAAAAGCTTGCTTGGGAAATTTTGATGCTACATTACAATTATTGACATTGTTAGAACAGCTAATCATTATTCACTTCTACAGATATGAATGGTTCATATGAACATTCTGGCATAATTATTGATTAATATGGAATTATTGTTGAAAAAATCAGATATCTTTTATCAAAAATCTGTAGATATGAATAATTTTTACAAGTTGGCTATTGTTATTATAACACATTATCAGAAGTCTGCTAAAGCAAATAGTGAATTTATAGAATCATTATCTATTCCAAATATAGGATTAATACAATGGTGATTTAACGAATTCAAAATTAGCTTCTGAAGTTAGTGTTTAAATCGATTAATCGATTAGTTAATCGAGTTGGCAACTAATCAATTGATAATTTATTAGACAACTAATCGACAATTAATCGATTAATCGATTAGTTAATTAATCAATTAGTTGACTAATCGACTAGTTTGTTTTATATGGTATCATACTTTGATCTTGTAATTAGTGGCTACGTAATTATTTCAAGCTATTTCAATATACAAACTAATCGATTAGCAATTAATCGATTAACTGACTAATCGGTTAATATATTAGTTGACTATAATTGATTTATAATTGATTTTTTAAAAAGCTTTTGGCCAACTAATTGATTGCATGATTTGTAACACTATTCTAAAATGCATTATCTATTTTATCAACAGTCTGGAACAATTTATTGTTTTGTTTAGATTGTTCTTAAGCAACTTCCTTATTGTGACTTGCTAATGATTGAG